AAAAATAGCCTGCTGCTGGGTCTGAGGATTGTTTCCTGTGTGCCACTGCCTCCTTCCTTCAGGACATGCTGAGAGCCCTCCAGTTCTCTCCCCTGCTCCCACCCTTGTCTTCTCTTTGTGAGCTGGATTATACCAGCACTACAGCCCATTTCTGTGAGGGGAAATGTGTGTACAACATTAATTTCTGCAAAATTCTGCATTGTGCAGTGGCACAGAATTCCCCCAGGAGTGCTCTCCGCAAAATAGGTAAGTATCAGGAGCCTCATTTTATAGCTAGCAAACTGAGGCACAGAGAGACCAGTCCTAATAGGCCCATATGCAGGGGGGTGCAAAGGGTGGAAACTCACCCCCACATGATCTTCCAAGTAAGCATGCTCCAGCCGGCTGGGGAAAGGCAGGAGCAGCACGCTGCCTGAGTCTTCCTCCCCCATGCTCCAGCCAGCTAGGGGAAAATCTGGGGTTGATTACCTCCCCTCCCCAGAAGAGAGGCTCGGGGATGGGCCTTGCTCCTGGGTGTGTGGGGGGGAATCAGCCCCCGCTTTCCCACAACCGACCAGAGCATGGGGGAAGAAGGCTCAGGCAGCGCGGCACTCCTGCCTTCCCCCAGCCGGATGGAGCACCTTTCTTGGGAGACCATGTGGGGGTGCATTCACACTCTTGCGGTCCACATTTGCAAAAAAACCCACCAGGCCTGCATATGGTCACACAAGAAGTCAGTGACAGAGGTGGGAATTAAACCCAGATCTCCCAAGTGCCTTAACAACCACTTCCTTCAGAAAATAAATTAATAATGTCACAATTTAATCAGGGTCCTCCAGCATTCTATAAACATAAATATAGCTCTTTGAGCAAAACGGAAGTGCAGTTGCATTTTGCTTATTATTTGGCTGTAGAGGAGTCCAGCGAGCCAGCAATGAAGTCATTCTATGAGTCAGGGATGTTAAAACAGGTTAAAAGGAAACTATCATCATTTTCTTCAGAGGTCAAGGGCAAAAAGTCTCCTAGGCACAATAGTACTAAATATGCATGGTAAGCAGAATCCAAACTTTCCTATAAATTAATCAGTTTTATAGTGAGAAAAAAAATCAAGATTTGCCTAGTATATGGATAAATATTTACTTATGTAAAACACCACATGCGTATTTCATCGCTGGTATAAGGCAAAAGAAGTTGTGGAGTAATTCCACTGAAGTTAATTCACTTATACAAGGGATGAATTTGGCTCGTCATCTTTAATTCAGTGATACAGCTAGAAATTACATCAGGAATTTCAGGTTTCATATGTAGTAGCTAAATTCAGATCAGCAGTATTTAAAAATTGACCAACATTCAAGAGAAGAAAATAAGAAAAATAGTGACAGGTGTTTTATCTGCAGGTGGAAGGAAAATCTGTTTTACACTGCTGGAAACTAATGAAAATGCTGGCATGGAAAACATATCAGGATGCATGATATTTCAGCACAAAATAAGAGAAGACTAATGTATTATCAGGTTTGTTTGGTAATTGGCAAGTTCAATAATTTGACTCAACTCTATTTTTAGACACATATTTTAATGACTAGTTTTTATAGTTTACAAAATACCAAACACACAATTTAAAATAAATATTTCCATAATCCAAAAAGTGGAGGTCCAGACTACACAGAGAAATACTTAATCTTTTCATAGTCAGGCTTAAATCAATGTTAGATTCTACTCCATGTAAGAAAGGTATCAGAATCTGGCCAAAAGCAATAAGCAATCCCAGGTTACTATACATATATCTGTTCCATACATAACACAAATTTGTTTATATGTACTTTAAAGAAAGAGTTTGTATAAATACAAAATGGGTACTGAAAAGCAACAAAGTTGAAAACAGAAATCCTTTTAACATAAAGTTAAATCACAGTTCAAACTGTACACAGTTAAAATATGGTAGTTTACTGATAAAGTTCTAACAAAATAACACACAATGCATTTTGAAATTTCTTTAAGAAAAAAAACCAATTATCCAGCATGTAGCACAGCAAATGAGGCCAGATGTTTATGATACTAAGACTGCGTCACACAGATGCTGGCTCTAATCCAAACACACAATTACAACTGAGCGGTCCTACTGCTAAAACCATTTTTTCCTAACTTCACAACAATTTACTAGGATATGTTATACTGAGAGCAGATACATTTAATGTTGCACATCTTAGATTGCTGAGCACCCTCTAATTTAACAATATTCTACATAAGGCTTGGCTATTTAAAATGCACTGTTATAGTTAAGCCAAACATAATAATATTGTTGTTACAAATGGTTAAATGATAACAGTTGCCAAGACAGGAAAAGAATCAGAAAATTGATAATATCTTTAGGTTGCCAATTTAAAAAAAAAGAGCATCCTAAAATGCACACCTTTCAGTATTCTGCAACCTACAGCATTCTAGCTGATAATCATGACATCAGCACAGAAACTCATATTCACTAGAAGCAGTGTTCACCACTGCTAAGTATGGAGGAAAAACAATTGCTTCATAAATCATTCTTAATATATTCTTTTCTCCCTTTGAACATACAGTAAGCATGTAGAACAAACTCCATCTAAACTACAGATTTTAGAATAGAATACAATTCTACAAAGGTAGGTTTCCCCAGATAAACATCCACAAATATGATTGCTGCAATTATGATTTCAGGGACTACTATGCAGAGTCAATGTACTTACAGGATTAAATCAGCAGATAACTTCAGGTGAAGAAACGTAGTCCTCCAAGGCAAGGACAAGTGTTTCTTACTTGTTCTATTTTCTATCAGACACAGAAAAGCTAGCCAAAAGCACAGAGAATATTCAGTTTTCTCTGTTTTATTTCTCAGTACCCATGGGGTTCTCATTAATTAGTTATCAAGCAAAAGAAAAAAAAGATAAAGTTCACAAAACAGCAGCTGGCATCACAGGAGCTCTCCATATCAGAATTTAAAAGAAATGTCAATTAGAGTGGCAGCAGCTACAGTCAATGCTGGTTGCTGATGTCTCTGCAGGAAGAGGATGCTGGGAGATTTTCCCAATCTGTGCTGCAGCCTAATTCTAATCCATCACTGCCTAACTGCAAGGAGAAAATGGAAACAAGAGAAATACAAAAAGATTTACATTTAAAGGGACCAAAAAAGTTACCTCAGTGTATTTCACTTGAATAACTAGGTACCTTTTAAGAGTGACCTTTAAAGCACATTTCAAAGGCTACTTCAAGGAAAAAAAACTAGATAAAAAAAGAAGTCCAGTACCAAAGCAATTTGCATTTGCTTTTAGTAAAATGAACAAAAGAGCTTGCAACAATTTACCGTTTAAGTAACAGTAACTGGCTTCATATTTTATTTTGCCCTATTCTATATAGCCCTAAACAAACAAAACCACCATGTGGTTATAAACTGTTAAATAAAATATGCCATGTATACTACCCTTTGGATTTCTCTCAAAAACCTGGTTTGATGCTAACTCCTAACATGGCCAAAAACTAAAGACAAAAAAAACAAAACAAAAAACGCAATAGCATACACAGAAACAGATCAAATATACTACATGAGACATCATTACTGATGTCCTGACAAGGTCAGTGGAAAAAAAGCAACAGCAGCAAGAAAGCCAGAAACAAAACAAAAACATCTCAGGAGACTAGTTTCCTGTTGGCATGCACCTGTGCCAACTGGGAATAAAAAAAACAACCCTCAACGGTGTGTCCATTTCCTCTAAAATCTTTGCAGTTGGGCTCAGTGTGACTAATCTTGCACACACTAGGGATGTTAATGTGTAGTTGATTACACAATTAACCAATAAAACTGGGTTTATCGGTTAATCATATCAGCTATACGCAACCCCCCCCCACTGCCTCTGATACATAGGCAACAGTAGGGAGGAAGGTGGGAGCCAGTGCCTGTGGGGAGCTTGTTCCCACCTGCTCCCCTCCCTCCCCCCATCCCACTGCCTTCCACAGAGGCAGCAGCAGGGGGTAGGGAAGCTGACTTTTAAGCAGACTCTTCACATGCGCTGGCTCTGCAGACCATCTCCCCCACCACGCCTCACCTCCTGCGTGCTGCCTCTATCACAGGCACTAGGGAGGCGGGAGCCCATGCTCGCCTAGGAAGGACAGGGTTGTGGGTTCTACTCCCGCTTTCCCCCAAGTCGGGTCCAGTCAAGACGACCAAAACCGGTCAGCAGCAAGGATAAGGGGTGCTGTGGTGGAATGGGTTCCTTAGGGGTGGGTAAGGTCATGGGTTCAAGTCCTGGGTCCAGTCCCCCAGAGCACCTACTCCCCTGTGTGTAACCTCCAGAATTTCTAGTCCTTAAATGTTTTTCGCAAATAAATGATAGTTAACATTCCTACCCTACACTGAAGGCCATTATTCCTGTGACAGATGAGTAGTTGTGGAACATGCTTCACAAGAATGGTTTTCAGGGCATGGAGGAAGGCACAAGACTCTCCTCCCACAAATTCTTGTCAATGAGGGAAGAAAGACTGCTCCTCTTGGAAAGGCTAAGTCCAAGAGATCAGCTTACTTCCTAAATACTATTCTTATGAGGTATAGGCTCTTTCTTTCTTGCAAAGAGTATTTCTGTGAAAATGGAATACATACCACACCACAGAGCTCCCCCTCATGTAGTAAGTGAAGGCAAAAAACCACTAACAATTAACATAACTCTTAGCAACTGCGTTCAGGGACAATGACAGTTAAAAAAAAAAAAAAAAGAGTGTGATCCTGACTTTAGACTTTGTCTCCTTCATTGGCTCTCAAACTTTCTGGCCCAAGACCCACCTGGTTCAATGCAAACCTTTCCATGGACCACCAGTAGCGAATGAAAACTTGCCTTTAATTACATAATTACACCCAAGCCTTTTTGCTAGTGCTACAGGTAGAGAGAATAGTTTCTGTTTACCAGTAAGAAAAGAAATATTAATTTAAATTATTAAACAATATAAGCTTTAAATTATTAAGTGCTTTAAATTTCTCATGTGAGTTTATCAAATTTCACTTTAAATAAAGTAAAATATTTATTTGTGTCGAACACAAAAGGTTCCCATGTTTTCTTTATGGCAGGAGTGGGGAACCTTTTTTGGGTCTGGGGCAACTGACCCACCGAAAAGTCAGTTGGGGACCACACAAGTGAGAAACAACAACAAAAAACCTCCAACTCCCACCCCCAAACGTGACTGATATGGCCCCCAACTGAGACTCTTTACTCCTCTGGCATACCAGCCGCACTGAGGTTCAGAGCTTCCCATAGACCAGATTTACTCTTCTGGGGTTCCAGGGTTAGTGGATTTTATGGGTCCCCCTAAGCTCTGGGGTTGTGACAAAAATGGGAGGTTCAGTATGCAGGACAGGGCTGCCAGTGAGAGAAATGGGGTGCAGGACCTAGGCAGGAGGTGGGGTACAGGAGGGAATGAGGGTATAAGGTCTGGATGGGAGGCAGGTATGGTTGGATGAAATAACATGATCTTGGTAACTAATTGACCATTCATTATAGGGAACTTTCTGGGTGTCTGGCTGGTGAGTCTTGCCCACATGCTCAGGGTTTAGCTGATCGCCATATTTGGGGTCAGGAAGGAATTTTCCTCCAGGGTAGATTGGCAGAGGCCCTGGACGGCGGGGGAGGGCGGCAGGTGTGCAATAGCAAAGGAAGATGCAGGGGTGGGCTGAAAGTAGGTGTCTGGTCAGGGGGTGGATGCAGGAGCAGGCTGAGGAGTCTGGGGGTGTGGGGATCTGGGCATGAGGAGGTGGGGGGAACATACCTGCCTTCATGCCCCGTGCTGCTCCCAGGCATGGCCCACAATGATGTTCTCCCAGCCAGGAAAGGGAGAGAGAGCAGGCTGGGAGTAGGGTATCTGGCCAGCTGGAATGAACAAGAGCAAGGGAAGGTGCAGTGTGTGGCCAGGAGGAAGGGTGCAGGATCAAGGGTGGATGCAGGAACAGGCTGGGGGTAGGGTGTCTGGCCGGAGGCAGCAGCCAGAGGTTGCAGTAGCCAGGGAAGATGCCAGTGTGGGCTCAGAATAAGTGTCTGGCCGGCGGGGGAGGGCGGCAGGTGTTCAATAGCAAAGGAAGATGCAGGGGTGGGCTGAAAGTAGGTGTCTGGTCAGGGGGTGGATGCAGGAGCAGGCTGAGGGGTCTGGGGGTGTGGGGATCTGGGCATGAGGAGGTGGGGGGAACATACCTGCCTTCATGCCCCGTGCTGCTCCCAGGCATGGCCCACAATGATGTTCTCCCAGCCAGGAAAGGGAGAGAGCTTCTTCCCCATGAGCTGGATCGTGCAGCGAGGCTTGGGGCTTTCTCTCCCTGCCCCGCAGCAGGAAGCCAACGTTGGCGTTCTCTCCTCGCCCCCCAGCAGGAAGCCCTGCCATGGGAGCGAATGAGGGTGAGGCTGAAGCGCCAGTGTGGGTTCCCTCTGTGCGGGGCTGAGCTCAAGCCACGGACCACCAGGAAGGCTAGTGGTCTGTGGACCCCAGTTTGAGAACCACTGGTCTACAGTAAAAGCTTACAGTGCAGGCCCAGAAGTGCTTTAAACTCAAAATGTGGCCACAACACGACCTCTGGGAGAGTGCTCACCCAGCCCTCTATATAAACCACCTCCATGAGAGTAATAGCTAACAGTGCTGGGTGCACAGCTCCCAGCACTTTAGCCTGGTTCACACTGGCACTTTACAGCACTGTAACTTACTGCGCTTGGGTGGGGGGGGAGAGTGTCACTCACACCCTTGAGCCAGAGTTTCAGTGCTTAAAACTGCCAGTGTAAACTTAGCGGACAGTTTAGTATTATGAAAGTGTTCACCCCTGGGGTATCCCCTTGCTGCACTATATGGCACAACTCATCCTACCCAGAATTTCTGACAGTTGACCACAACCTCTAGCTAAGTCTCTGTAGGACAGTTTTAGTGTTCTCACTGAGACAGTCTCCAGTTCACACCTTCTTGGGTAACAAAACACAAGAAAAGAAGGATATCAAAAGAGGGTAGCCTGGCAAGTCTGCATCACGATCTAACCCTTTTCCTTCAGGACTTATGTTCAAATGGTCCCAGTCAGTCTCCCGAGGCTCAGTTTTTCCATCCACTGTGAGGCTCACCAAGCAAGCAAACTGTCTCAGGTTTCTAGCTGCAGTCATGTTTAGCTCCGTGACAGATGCCTGGAGGTCTGCTCCCCTTCTGATCAGCCGCCAAGCAATCTAAGTTCTCTCTACACTCCTGACATTTACTGCTGATGAAGTTGGATAGGATCAATTGGACCCACATACCCTTGTTAATCTCTTGCTCAGAGATTTGTCCAGGCATTCACTCAAGCTTCCACTAAGGATCATGTCAGGGGTACTGACCATGCCCATCAACTCCCCCATCTCAGGAGTAAAAAAACAAGTACCATTGCATGAACACAAGTTGGTGTTATTCATGGTGCCAAGTGACTACAGGGCATGATCTATGGCTAGGATAAACATTCCCAAGAAGGAAGTAAATATCACAACACAGCCACAGTCCAGTCTGCCACCAAAACGTTTTTGGAAACCAAAGATACCATTTTTCAAGTGAACAGTTTTCGGCTAAGGTAAAAACTGAGTGCTCTTTCCATTAAGTACCCAAGCAGAGTTTAGACTGGACAGGAGTATGGCAGCTATTGGTTTCAATCCCAGACAGAAATAACTTACTACATCATCTAGGAAAGCTATGGCATACTGGGCCTGGGGCTGGAGGATCCAGTCCATCGGCCACTGAAAAGTCACAGAAGACCCATGAAATCAGCATGGCTCAGAACTGATATAGTCTATAGGGAATGGCAAAATCTCCCACTGCCCCTCCTGCCCCAATCAGGTCTCCAGCATGAGAGGGATGTGCCAATAGCCCTTTGTAAGATCCAGCATGAGATGTTCCTCAACAGATATAGATCTTATAAAGGAGGTTCTGGATACTGCAGCTCTAGCTCTGGCTCCAATAAACAAGCCTCTGGTGTGTTCTATGGCTTTAAGAAGTTAACATGATACATTTGTTAGTTTTCTTATTGGTAAATTGCCTAATCTTGTAATTTACTGGTCCTACTTGTTATGTAATTTCATAGGGCTCACTGTCAGGCCAAAAGTTCAGGCTCCATTCTATGGAGTAATATGAGCATCTGATCTACAAGGTTAAATTCTCAGCAGAGACACTCTTATTACATGAATTCTGTTGGGCCCACTGGACATTAAGAAAATTTTCCCTTGAGCATGTACCTGAGGCTTCAAGCCTTTTTTAAAGATTAAGCGAAGCACATACTGTACTACAT